CCCCGCAGTGATGCTAAAAATCTTTGGCTGCTTCTCGCATTTTGAGGAGGTGGCAAAACCTCTGTTAATATCACCTGGGATAAGGACCTCTGCAACAACAGGGAGGAAAGGGACTATAGGATGGGGGGAATACACCTCCTGTCTTTTATTCACTCTGCAGCATACCACAAAGAAGCAGCTTTTTGCCGAGAAAGCTGGACATAGGAAACAGGTCCATAAACAAGTTTCGTACATGGCACTGCATGACAGGCTTAGAAACAGTGTAAGTATACCTCTCTGAGTCAGCACATACAAACTGACCTTTATCTCTCCCTAAGTGCTTAGGAAAAAAAAACCAAAAACCTTCTCATGTGATTCCTAGCTAGGCTGCTGTCTAAATGGGGTTTGGGAGAAAGATCACAAAGTTTATGCCTGCATCTTCTCTGCAGGTATAATAGGGATCCAGCAGCCAAGTCACTTGGGAGGCATCTTTTTGGCAATCGGAGCAATCAGTGCTTTCTCCTTGACTTTCCCCGGTGACAAGAATTCTTGCAGTTCTTCCAGGAGCCGATTAAAAAGAGAGGTTAGTCCCATGTTACACGGAAGTGTTTAATAGCTATCCTTAGCTAACACAACTAAAAGGTATGAGCTTCCTCCCACAAAGAACCAATGTTTTTGAATCTCCTCTCCACATAATGAATTAGAAAGGGCCAAAAATCTTAAGATTGTTCCTGGGCTTTCTTTAAAAGACTTGGCACTAGTTAAATAACTTATCAAGAGCTCACTATCCATGATTCACTTTCTTCATTTTTTCAGATCATCAAAACATAGACAAAACACAATGAAACTACGTAAAATATGTTCCAGCAACCCTGATCTAAGCTAAGTTTCTTCATTAATGGTAACTGGCCTCAACACACAGGCCAGCCTCATGAGAGTTTTCTCCCCAATTGCTTTCATTTCAAACTGAAAAGAATAATCTTTTTCAAAATCCAAACCAGAACTTGAACTCTGCAATTAACTGTAAGACTTTCAGTATAATTCTGGCAATCTTTCCTAGTCCATACAGACCCATAGATACAACGAGCTGGGAGGAAGGTATTAAGTTTTAAATCCATACCTAGGTCAAGGGTGACTTTTTTGGAGATAATGGAAAAATTACGTGACTTCTTCAGGACCACAAGAAATTAATGACCTGACATCTCATTCTACTTCTCTGATAAAACTCTGGAGATCAAGGCGTATATCGACTGTTGATTCTACAGATTGTCTGACAACCAGGTTACAAGTGGGTACGCAGTAGTATCTCCATCTTTCCTGGTATACAGAGAAAGAAAAATTCTGTAAGACTATGAAAAAGTCCTTGCAAGAGGAGAATCTAACACAACATATTTATTCTCTCTTCTTTTAATATATAACTAGCTGGGTTCATATAGCTCATTTAACTCTGTGATCACTCGCCTATCAAGACAGGATAAGCTAACCCACCACAGGTATCCAAGAAGTCTATTCAACCTGACCTGAGCCAGGTAATTAACACGGCGAATATAAAAAAAGCCGCTGAAAACTGTTCTCTACAAAGTTCCCAACACTAATGCAAGAAAGTATTTACACATCTACAGCAGAAATCCACACAGAAAGCACCTGCAATAAAACTTAATAGAATGCAAAAGCTAAGTTTTATCTTGCCTGTATTTGTGCACAGTTTACAGCAGGAGCACATTAACTGAGAAAACAGAAAAATGTAGCACAAACCAGGGGTAGTGGTGACAAGAGCAAGGCAGCTGTGACCAAGACTCAGTACACTCCACTATTCAGAAGACCCCGACTTCTGCAATACACACTTTTCACTTCTCCATAGGAAAGCAGAAAGTCAGTCAGCAAAAATATTGAACTGGTTAGCTGGTCAGTTTTTAATTAATACTTTCATTAATACCAAGTCAGCGTGGAAGGGGCCATAATGCATTTGACAGAATCCCCGAATAAAGAGGAAAAGCTACTATTGATAATATTGACTATTTATAGCCCCCTAGACACCCAGCTATTGTTATTCAGCTCAGGTGGTGAGGATGCACACAGCCAGGTGCTGAAGCTTCATCTTCCCAGATCCCAGGCTGCTACATGGAGTCCCAGCTCTCTTACTTTCACTTACAGGAACAGGGAATGAAGTCACGAGACAAAAACCACAAGAAAGTTGCGTTATGGGTGTCCCCAGTGCGGGATGTTATACCAAAAGGAATCCCAGGATGGTCTGCATCTGGGGCCACAGGGAATTGCCCTGGCAATGCTGCAAGACGGATGCCCGTTTTCATAACCCTCCTTCTGCAATTATACTCAATCTTTCTCACATAACATTCCTCGCATCCTTGAAGTGACAGACATTTGCCAAGAACCTGAAACGCAACAGTGCAACTTCTAGCTCTCACATACCTTCGCTAGTCATGCCGTCAAAGATCTGCAACGGCAGCTCTAACGAGCCAGAAGAGCCCTCGCATTCAGGGGGCAGCAGCAAAAAAAGAGCATGTTCTTCCTTTGAGGTAATCCCCTGTGAGGTGAAGGCAGTAGGGAACGGGAGCCCCCCTGTAGGGTGAGGGCAGTGGGGAAAGGTAGCGGCAGCCAAGTCGCAGAGGAGATGATAAAATGTCAGACTCCTGGCAGTACAAAATGGCAGCTGAACTCTGGCGAAATGCCAAGCTGTTCAAACAGTGAATTGAGGAGTACACGGGGCCATAATTATGATTAGCATAATAAGAGAGTGGTACAACAGCTACCTAGTTACTCTGAAGGGTCATGGAGAAATCATTACAAAGCAAAGTTTTAAGGAGACACACAAAAGAAAACAATGACATAGCTGCTCGGTGGGTTTTACCCGGAGGTTCTTCCATGCGTGAAGTGCGGCCCGGGAGAAAGTACAAAGACTGTTTAAGAGATCAGGCTCTGAATCAAGAGCGGCCGGCCGTGCCTGCAGAACTCAAATGGCTCCACAACATATAAAAGATCATATGAAAAGTGTGACACTGAAGACAAAGGACCTTACGAGAAAAATAGGCTATTTGTGTAAATTTGAATAAAACCTGGGCTCAATAGAGTCAGTCAAGATTTTTTCCTTTCTAACCAGAAAAGACTGTTTTCTCTTTTCCACAAATGAAGCAGAAGAGATAAAAATATGAGAAAATTTAACAAACAAAATCTGAACATTCTGATACTTGCTTTTTTCATTTTGAATGTCATATAAACAATATTTACAGATCCATTGCTTCATGCAATTAGCCAGCTGTCTGGGTGAAATTAATCAGAGTTGTAATAAAAGTATTAAACATTGAGTTTCAGACTTAAAGCTATAGGGATATGAAAATTTCTAGATCCACTGGACTTGGTACATCTGGAGGAATTTATAGACAAAGCTTAAGTTTAAAATCAAAAGTTCTCTTTGCGAATAGAAAGATCAGAGTTTTCACTGAGATCTGAATTCCACAGAAGACACTGAGAATCTGTGTATAAAAAAAAATACCCTTATTTAGTAGGCACAATCTAGTCCTCCATGAACAGAAATCTTACTGTTTACCCATTGTCACCTCCCTTTTTCTCTGTGCTGCTTCTGTTTCTCCTATTAACCTTTTCCATTACCACAGACATCAAGAACCCTGTGTATATGAAAAATGCTTCTCCCAAGGCAAGGTCAACTCCTTCCCATACAAGACAACCATATGCTGTATCCCGAGTGTCATCCATCAAGACAACCTAAGTTAAGATTCTCCATCTCATTTGTTATATGGTATCAGACAGAACATCAACTGAAGATGTGCCTTTTGGATTTTAGAGGCTAATGCAGTTCGACTGGTAAAAACCCTACCCTTCTACCTTCCCATTGCTTTCAAACATCATTTTTCCCCTAAAATCCACAAAGTCATGGGTTTCTTCTAGCATTGAAAAAAAAAAAAAACCCAAACAACAAAACACAACCCTTGATATCTGCCTGTTTAACTGACTTCTTTCTAAGCACCTCTCTCTACACCGACAGAATGAAAGCCACCTTTAGAATGTAATAAACTTATGGCTTCCAACCGCAGGCGTCCCCATAAGGGAGATCATATTCTTCTCAGACACCAAAATATTTCTACTGTCATAAATCCTTCCTGACAGCAATATCTGACAAACACAATTTTAAATTATGTTTTTTCTAGCTTAATCACAGCTTTGCTATATACACCAACATACTCTGACACGCACTGGTGTAAGCTAAGCTCAGGGACATATACTTAGGCGCACATCTTAAATCTCATTCACAGTGCTCATTGTAAACCACCATAACACCTAATTGAAACAATTTATCCTGTAAAAGTTCACCAAGCAGTAACATATTTCAGAACACAAATTCAGGGAAGCACACACTGATTTTCCCAATTAGGACAGTTGCTTATTAAACTTTTCATCATCTTGTTAATAAACCCTGTATTTTAGATCATTTTAGAACATCCATTTATTCCCAGGAATAGGCGTGTATCTAATGCAACATACTTATGAAGAAAAATGAGAATCAGCGTCTCTCTTGCCCAGTAATTTTGCGTAAATGACTATCTACACAGTAGTGAGAGCAAAAAAAATACATTACTGTTAAATACTATTAGGCCTGAAGAAGCAAGAGAACATACCCTATTTGCCTTTCAAATGCAGATTCTAAAATGCTGACTTGTAGTAATTCTTAGTTCTGGATTTTGCTACTGTTCACAGTTAAATGCTTTACAACCACAGAACACATGTCAGCAAGTAGCGGAAAGGAAGATCTTTGCTTTTTAAAAAATTGTACTTTGACAGTAATGAAAAAAATTCACAACTGATTGTTCTATATTAAATATGTAACTGTTTGTAATGAAAGGACAACCCCAAGAGTTTCTGTAATCTCCAGCTCACCCATCCAGTAACTCAGAAAAAGAAATAATGCAAACTAGTCAATTGTCAGACAGAAATGTTCAAACTAGTAATCCTGACTTGCTCATTTAAACAAAAGATAAGTCACTTACAGAACTGGATGAACAATCAGCTCTGGACTATATGATTTGATTACTGTTGCTGCATCTTTGGTACAAAACACATGGGATAAATCTGCACCCTAAAAAAGAAAATTTGCAAACAGAATTATCAAATTTATACTTAGTAATAACTTTATCATTCCAAAGTTTACTCAGTGACTAATTCACCTGAATTCTTACTTCTCAGTAGGTAAAGCAAATTTTATTATTTTTTCTATTTTAGTTTAGACTACCATGCAACGTTTTGGAGAAATTTTTTTGTACCTAACTTCAATATAATTTTTTTCTGTTTCTCACCAATAGGATGACTGAAAACACAGATCTTGAACCTTTACTCACTTGAGAAATGTTTCTCATTTGCAGATGAGCAAAGACTAAAATGTCATTCGTGCAATAAGAAGAAAGGCAAAAGAAAGGCTGAACAAGAGACAAGCTACATTAGAGAGGAAAAATAATACCGTAATATACTTGCAAGATACAGCTATGGCAATCTATGAGTACATTTCCAGTCCTACCATTTTTATTCAATGGGCCAAATCTGTACCAGATAAAGGCTGGCACAATTTCAGCACCACGCCTTAAGTTAAATAAACATTAAAGCTGAGGAATTTAGCCTCAAGCTTCTGTTATCAACTCAAAAAATCAGACATACACATAAAAATTATCTAAGCAGTGACCAGAAAGCCTGATCTTGCATCTGCCTTGCATATTGAAATTTCCCAAGGTTTAGAAAGTGTCTCCTTTGCTTTACTACCACACATTTAACATTTCAAGCTGCTAAGCAATGCAAAGATTTGATCCTATGACTCTTTACGTGCACATGTAATGATCTGAGACCAAGTGACTTCAATAGAGGACCTCCTTGTATGCTACTGTATTTGCACATAGTGAACAGAAAGCTGAGTGGCCTTAATATCTTATATAAGATCATTAAATAATATAATTTCAGTTTTAAATCCTTGAGAACCGGCATCCTGGGGGGCGGGGGTGGGGGTGGTATGGAAATGTCTGGCTTGGTTACCTACTTATTGAAACAAATCTTCAAAAAGAAAAACATACACCGTGAACTGAAAGTGCTGACACACTATATATAGAGTACTGAAAAGTACATGTATTATGTAAGCATGGTTTGTTTACATTTGAATAATCACTATTAAATAATGTAAATAAAATGTGCTATTAAAAATTACATTAAACTCAATCAACAATCTTTAGACTTACAGCACGTAAGAATTTTACTAGCCTAAAGCTTTAAGTTTTGAAAGAAAGTTACTTCATTCAACACACTTATCAGGTCCAGAAAAAATTTCTGAAGAACTGACCACAGCACTGAAAACACAACTTTAAACATTAATCTGAAGTTATTTTATTGTTCACTTTTGGAGAAAGTATTTCACCAAGTTTTGAAATTTCCTATCCAACTCTCCAATAAAACAGTTCTCCCTCTGAAATCTTCAGTTTTTTGACATATGTCTAAATTTACCTTATACAAAGAAAATATTTACAAAAAACATAGCAAATGACACATATTTACAAAGTATTTCTACAAATCCAGGACTAAGGTTTTCTTTGTTACATAGAAAACCTTTTAGAACTCAAATTTCATGTGCAGTACAGAATGAATGCTTTTAAAAAATGGCACTTAGCCAATATAAATGATGAAAAGTTCATTTTGGATTGGTATAGAAGAACACATACCACTTTGAGAGCTGTAATTGCAGCAAAATATGGTGCTCCAGTGTATCTAGAATGAAATACAATTTAGGTTAGGAAACACAGTCATGAGATTAGATAATCTGGAAATCAGCCTGCCATAATGAAGTCCCAAATTCAAGAGCAAATTTTAAAAAAAGCTTTCTCTTTTCTTTGCTATAGAAGACAGATAAAATCTTGCTATACTGAAGCCAATCTCAAACCTTGCTTTGATTTCAAAGGCACAGGATTTCACCTTAGCCACCTGATCCTTTCATAGAAATATTTATAAAGATCATGCCACAAAAAAAGCAAACTTCTCAGACAACCAACTTAAAAGTTTAGAGACAAACAAAACAAGAGTCGAGCACTGTTTACAAGCCAGATCTGGGATCTGTGACCCCGATCAATCCCATCTGGTTTTAGACGCTTAACTAAAGTGCCTGAACTGTGATTCCAGTTGCCCTAAATTCTCTTTATGAAGACTGAAGAGAGAGAGATGGACAGAATCACCCTCCAGAGGTGCCTGCTTCTGCCAAGAGGTAAGAACCTAAGCCCATTAGACCAACTGGAAAACTAACTCGTGGCTAATCAACCCAGCTATAAGACAGCACCTTTTTGCTCTTTATAGAATGTTTATTAATGGCAGATGTCCAACAGCAGATCTTTTACAGGAGAAAGATGCCATCTCTATTTCAAAAGGGGAAAATGAAAAACAGGAGGGTATAGTGGCTCATTCAAAGTATCGTGCAGATTACTGAACGTGGTGAAGAAAAGAATAGAGCCTGTTTTATTTCTAGGTCAGTACAGCATTTAACTGATTTATGCTGTATCTCTTTTTTCCCTGAAACATGCTATTTCTATTACTCCAGAACATAAAACAAGGTATTGACAGAATCTAGTAAACACCACAATTTATCAAAATAAGAAGTACAGAGTAAGAAAATAGTCTATTCCTGATTTAGGAGACCCAGTTCCCAAGATACCAAAATGTAAAAAAAATCACGTGCCACTGTCCTACTCTATACTACTTATTTTATAACTTCATCATGGGAATAGACTAACACTGAAAGCAGGGAGAGTTTTGTGGTCAAAAAAGACAGAGAAGGTAGACACAGACACAAACAGCGTTCTAAGTTTCAACCACATTCACTACCAAAATTTTGCAACACAACTGCAGGGAAACATGTTCTTTTTTAAGTATGCATGGTCACAATGATGGACTAGTAAAGATCTCTGGAAAATACTCATGTTTTAAATGTCAGGTGAGTTTGAATGGCTTCTACAAGTACTTATGACATCCTCAAACTCTCTCAGAAACAAAAATCAAATTTCTGTTTAACTTACTCTTGACATCCTCCAACAATGCCTATACGTCCATCTTGACCTTTATGCCTTTTCCCTGTTAGAGGAGGGATAACATTGCGCACCAGTTGAAAAATATTCTCCATATCCTTTAGAGAGTGTGTTCTGTGCAGTGAAAAAGATCTCTCTATAACTGAAAAGAAGAAAATAAGTGTTACTTTGAAGCATGTTCTTTCTTAAACTACCATCAGCATTTCTTTTAAGCACTCATAAACACTAATAAAATCACTGGAAGATATACGAAGTGACATCCTTCTAAAAACCAAATGCTTCATCACTTTAAAATAGTGAGTAGCTAGGGAAGGTGATCATTTTAATAATTAATTTAGGGTCTGATGCAGAGATTATTCCCACTCACCGCTCACAGTCCTAATTTAGGGCTCAGGTACAGAAACAGCCGCCCAGAATAGTTATATGAACATTTTGTAACTAGAAATATCTTCTTAGTTCAGCCTGAAATCACTTCCATAATTAAGCTCAACTGAAATAGGTATACTTAGTAAGGACTAAACAAATCCAGACACAGAGCAAGCACAGAGCAACTAAAATCACATTTTAAACGTACACCCTACCTTGTTTTTCGCTTCCCCTTAAAGACTTCCACCTCTTAGCAGAGTCAGGGCCTATCTCACTGCATTTTTATTTTGGTAGGTGGTTACAAAGCCTTTCTGAAAGTCTTTCTGCAAAACTATAATCCAATGCACTAGATGCAAACATTACAAATATCACACAAAGATAATTTTTAGCTATAATACAACTACAGATCTCTGATGCCAAGCTACATGTCAAGCTACGTATTAAAACAACTGCACACTCAGAAGGCTACATATTCAAATTACTGTTTCAAAAGACTACAAAAATTTAGAAGAAAAAAGTATTTCAACAATTACAACTAAAGAGAATGAAACTGTTTACCTAACATGGGACAGATTTGAAGATCAGTACTTCCTTCTCCCAACGATGTGTTAACTATAAATTGCAGTAAATACACTAAAAGAGTAAGTTCTTATATTTCAACAAAGCCCCTCATTAACTGTACAATTCTGTTCAGAAGAGCAGTTTATTTGGACATTAATATTAGTCTCCTAGACCATAGCTATGTTAACTTTCTTTTTTACAGATCTTCTAAAAAAGCTTTCAAGGAACTGCTACATAGTAATACATGATAACCACCCCCCAACTTCAAAATCTGGGGGGGGGTTTTGGGAGAAAAAAAACAGAGGAAAAACTGTTCCAGAAATTTTGGACATAATAATGTGGGAAAAAAGTGACAAACAAGAAAACTCCGCATCCGTGCGCTATCAGCAGAAAGCATCTTTTTCTCCGTATTTCACAGAATCTAAACCTAAACCAGACACGCTAATCTTCAGTAATAAAATGCTTTAGTGTTCAATAATGATAAATACTCCTGGCTGACTTTTGCTTTTAAATTCCTTCTACAATACAGGCATCCCATTCCTATTGAGATAAAAACAAAAAAGAAAAAAAAAAGAAAAAAAAAAGAAAAAAAAAAGAAAAAAAAAAGAAAAAAAAAAGAAAAAACCACCCCATTTTGGATTATGGCCAAAATAGCATTGCAGTGACCCAGAGGAGAACAAAACGCTCATCTCCTCTGGAAATAGGGCAGATTGTTTTCTTTAAATCATACTTCATACACTCACTGGTTTTCAACCACACAAGAAATATACTTATCATATAGCTTGTAACCCTTAAAGTGCAATGTTGTTAAGAAGGTCCTCTGTTTCTTTGTTGCTGTTTTTTGTTTATATGTAAATATAAAGTGATTGCATAATAAATGGAGAGAAATCAAGAGAATTATGCAAAAAGCAATTCTTAATAGAGCCCCACTTACCTACAGAAACACTAAGGCATATTTAGCTATAAACAACTGAAATCTTAATTCCTTAAAAGATTGCTGCCTGAAGCATTATTTTCACATTTTATTATAAACGCTTTGTTACACCTTCACCACTTAAAAGATTAAAATCCTGAGTTGCTCTTGCTACAGTTAAATATATATAATGCATTTTGGCACAGTGTAGTATGATTGTACACCTATATGATGAAATCCAGCAAGAAAAACTGAACTTTAGTTTCAAGTCTTTACAGATAATAAAACGCTTTCGGCGAAAAACCCTTCAGAAGTAATGGTAAGGCCTTGTAGCATCACCCCAGCCTAGAACCTCAAACAATTTTCTAAAGCACTTCAGGTTTCCTTTTAAGTTAGAAGTGGAAACAACATTTAAAAACAAAATCCATACGTATGCCATAATTTCTCTACGAAAGTCTGCTGCCATCAAGGAATGTTACAGATCAACTATCCAGTCAAGAAGAAACACAACCAAGTCAGCCAGCCTAAACCCTCAACAGGCCTGAACATCCAGTCCCCCATGCATTTTACAGGGAAACGCAGTATGTAACGTAGAATTGACAAGGCTCCAAGATTCTCTCAGGAGTCAGAGAATGCCCTTTAGGATCTGGCGTGCCAGATTATTATTCAACACTGAAGCTGGATGGTTTTTTTTCTTTTCAAACCACGCTTTTTTTTCCCGAGCAGTGTGAAATTCAGAATTAGAACAGAACAAGACTTGTGTCGTTTCCACGCGGCAGGCTACAACCACCGAGCCCTGAGCTGACTCTGGTTTCAGCACTGACAAGAGTATCCCTGTTTTCCTCCTGCCCACGCAATCTACCTTCATGTACAAAGAGACTGTGATAAAGATAAATGACACGGAGCCACAGATCCCGAGAAGTCTGCTAATGAATGCTAATATCCGATTATCAGCTTCTGGCCCACACACAAGGTACGGAAGGAAAAGTCTGTGCACAAATACCAATTCTAGAGTTACTGCTTTGCCTTTTTCTTTAAAATAAATTCAGACCCCCAAAGAATTTATAAATGAACTGGTGTAGAATAAAAATATATGCCAACATTTTCATCTTCTATTATGCCTACTACAGTAATATGATGTTTAATTAAAAGATAAGATTCAGAATTTTGATTTAAAGAAATTTATTTTAAAGAAGCTGGATTTTAACATTTGACTTACTTCAGTGTAGTCAAAACTCCACTCTTTTCCCAACCCTGGAAAACCATATGCACAGCCTTACCTTCACATACTGGGTTAGGCCTGTTAACTTCAACAGCAGCAGAATTTCCGCTACAGGGTACCTAGTGTTTCCAGACAGCTTTCAGCAAATGCACTACTTGCCTTTTACATATAAAACTTCTCCTACCTTCACTTTACAGAGACGTGAACGTGGAAAGAAGTCCCCAATATTTACAGGGTTCAAAAAGTGTGATTTCGCTCATTAAAATTTGTCTTAACTAATATATCTATATTAAATAATCAGTACAATGGTACAAATGACATTTTAATTTCATTTTACATCAGACAGATACCTTCACCACAGTATTAAATAATTCCAACTAGCTTTTATTTTCAAAAGCTACTTACTACCAGTGCTTTCACACAGAAGTTTAAAAAAAAGAGCTTTTTTTTATGCTATAGAAGGAAGTACCTATCGGTGGAGAAAGTGCTGCTGTCATAGCATTATAATTAAAGTTATCCCCATATGAACGATGGTTCGCCCTCTGAGGTGGACTCGCTGGTATAGATTGTGACCTTTGTGATACCGTAGAAGAAATTCCTGCCAACATCTGTCCCAACATCTGTAACATCTGGAGCTCTCGAGCATGCTCAGCTTCCCGACGCTTGTCCTCAATTTTGAGCCTCTGCTCTTCGTATCTGTAAAATTTCTCTTCTGTATCCACGCTCTGCTGCAGGAATTTTTCCATCATTTTATCCAACGTTAAATTTGCATGGCGTTTTTTTGACCTTTTGGGCTGATTGAGAGGTGGGGTAATAGTTGGAGCATTGATTTCTTTAAAGCCTAAAACAAGAGGACAGACAATTATTTTCCCGAAGTGCTAAGAAGAAAGCAGCAAAAAAATCTACCTATAAGATGTGGACCTAACACGTCACAAAGGTATTATTCTTTTTCAATGTGAATTGTAATTATTTCAGAGTACCAAAGCAAAAACACAAGCTTCTGCAAAGTTATAAAGGTAACACAAAAATTACACAGGGGCATCTTTTAATTGTTGTAGTACTAAACTTCAACAATAGGAGTCTTTTTGATCTTCTAAAAAGGTTTAAGTGAAGGCTATTAAATAGTATAGCCTCATTTGTGTATTGCAGGTAATTACATTAATCTAAATTGAGTTTCCATCTGTTGGCATTGTGGATTTGCATTTCAAAAGAACATCAGTGTAAACAATTCTTTGATGGGGTTTATATGTAAAAAGAAGGTTGGTTAAACGTCAACCAATTGGCTGATTCCTCAGTGACGTCAACTTCTGAAGACAGGTTCATGTTTGTATTAAAACTACGGCATGAATCTAGATTTAAAACAAACAAATAACACTGCCCCCCCAACCTCCACAACACAAATACGGAGCTGAGGGTAAAGAATGAGCAAGGAAGGGACAGGCTTTATCTAAGGGCTGCTTCTGTCCGCAAGCCTGCTAAAGTTAGAAGCAGTGTTACTGAAACAACTCAAGCAATTAATTACGTAAAAGCTCTCCCCTAGCTTTCTGGCCTATCTGCAACAATAAGCAGATTTTTCAGGTATTATCGTCATCGTCGTTTTAACACCGATTAACAAAACTGCACATAGTCTGCAGGGAACGGAAAAATCCTCCAGCGAGAAGGATGCCTATTTTCTTGTCCAGTGCTACCTGACACTTTGTCTCGATAATCTCTGCGCTAGTTCTCCATTGGTTTCCCATTGATAAACGCCGATAAAAACTCACTACGGTCTCCGTCCCCTAGCATCTCCCCCTAGCCGGTTTGCAGCATTTCCCGCCCCCCCGCAGCAGCCCGCTCCCCTTCCAGGCGGCGTTGGGCGGAGGGGGAGCTTTCGGGGACGAGCAAGGTGCGGGGG